TTTTTTTTTAAAGAGGACAAGAGCGGCGAGGTCTATCGCGATAGTTTAATTTCTCTATCGAGTAAAAGTTATATCGCGATACATATCGTTATCGTTCTATCGCCCAGCTCTACTATGACCTGACTATGACCAAGTGTCTGCACTTGTATGGTGTCTCTCCCGTGTGGATTCCCTTATGCTTTTTCATTGAACTTATTTCCAGTGGTGAAGGATGACCCACACTGGTCACAGATGTGCTTTTTGACCCCACTGTGGAAGAGTTCATGTATTTTTAATGTACTTGGTGTGTGGAAGCCTCTCCCACATTCTTTGCAGTAGTTCACTTTGTCTCCAGTGTGGCTACGTTGATGTGGATTTAGGTCCCGTTGATGATTGGAAGTTTTTCCACAAAGATCACAGAGAAACTCTTTCCCACCACCACAGTGACGACAGGGTTGAGAAATGGATCCATGTGCGTCGCTCCACTTCTAAACAAAGACATTGTAAGTCGGGGAATTCCTTCAACAATTTTATCCTGAACGTTGCCTGAAATAAAGAGCATCTCTGCCAACGTCCAATTATATTTTAATGTTTACATTACAACACTCAGCTTACTGAGTGAAAATGAGTCTTCATTTTTCAAAACAGTTCATTCAGTATAACTCCATAAGTTTACTGATCAGACTTGTTCCAAACAATCAGGTTAAAATTACAAGATAAAAAACTAAATACATACCTCACAGTAACTGCACTTGTAGAGTTACTTTCTTGTGTGGATCTGTTGGTGTTTATTCAGCTGATGTGGAGCTTTAAAAGTCTTCTCACACAGGTCACATTTATAAGGTCTCTCCTCAGTGTGGCTAAACATGTGTCGTCGTAACTGTGCATCGGTTGCAAACAGTTTCCCACACTGATCACAGCAGGAAACATCATTTCCAGTGTGAATCCGTAGGTGATTATTTCGGTACTGTTTGCCGCTGAAACTTTTTCCACAAAAGTCGCAGCTGTACGCCTTAATTCCAGAGTGGGTAACTAGATGCCTCTGTAAGTCGCCATTTTGAGCAAAAGCCTTACCACACAACTCAAAACTGTGTGCTTTAAATCCACTGTGGATTAGTTGGTGTTTTTTTAGGCCTCCAGCCAGGGTAAAAGACTTTCCACACAAGTCACAGCTATAAGGTTTAACTCCACTGTGGATGAGTTTGTGTGTTTTCAAGGTTTGAGCCTGGGTAAAAGACTTTCCACACAAGTCACAGCTGTAAGTTTTAACTCCACTGTGAATGGTGTGGTGTCTTTTTAAGTCTCCAGCCTTGGTAAAAGACTTTCCACACAA